TAACAAGTCTATAACATTTCATTTATCATGCAGTTGGAACATTTGGCAAAAGGAGTTTCCTTAACTCTAATTTGCAATTCAGTTTCTTGTCTGACTTGTAGATAGATATAAGATCAATATTTTTTTATTCAGATGCTGAACCCTGTAAAACTACTTTTATCTTTGAAAATATTACTTGATACAGATATTTAGGTATAGTTTGACAGTTTAAATGCTTTCTTAACATTTAACTAATTTTCAGTGTAAATTTCCTTTGTGGTTTCATCATTTTGAAATATGCCATTTCCTTCTGGCCGACTAAATCTGCATAAAGTTGATTTGTGTTCTTTGTGTTACAGCCACCATAGTCAAGTCATGTTTCTCTAGATCTAGGCTAAAAACCTAAAAATATTCTTACCTGAAGAGTTTACTGTAATGGTATGCATTCTCAAGACTAGTGAAGTCTTAATATCTGTCCCTTCAGTACAGAGAGCTTTTAGATATGGAATATGTGCTGTAGAGTGTTCTGCCTGTCTCTTCCTGTTGCATTTTTTATGGCATTCAAGAGCTGCAGTCCAGGATTGTATGTGAGTCTGGAATCAGAATTTAAAACAATATAATATTTGAGACTGTTTTAAGTCATTCTGCTTGTAGTCATTTTCTGTGGTAGCTTTTTAGGGAAGAACTTTTATTCTGGCGTACTTGAATTTGTATGCAAGGCTCTTTTATTAGTTGTGAGATTTTCAGTTTTTCAGTGAAAAATGAGAATACAATCCGTTAGAAGTATGTTCCATTACAGTAGACCATTCCTTATTACTAGAATTATATTTAGCGACAGACATGTGCTTCTTGGATCTTTCTTTTTTTCTAAGTCAAAGTGTTTTAACTACGCTAGAGAAAAATTGTAATGATTATGTAAAAGTCATCTTTCTTTAGAATCAAAATACCAAAATGATGATGAAAAGGTTCTTTTCTCCCTATTTCTATTTCTGTGCAGAACCATTCTGGAAAGATAACTGCCTTTTTTTACAAATTTCTAGGCAAAGCATTCTGTTGGCTCACAACCCTAAAATTCATGTATTCAGCAACTATATTTTAAGCAACTGCTCTGTGTTCTGAGGACAATATATTAGGTAACCATAGAAGTGGAAGACACAGTACCTGCCTTCTAGGAGCTTACATTATCACTAGAGAGCCAAGTCACACATCATGGAAGAAATTACTACGCAATAATAATGAACAGTAATAGTAGCTGGCATTTGTATGGCACTTTAAGATTTTGTAAAACATTTTACATGCATTATCTAATTTGATTCTCACAATCACCCTGTAGGTTAATTTCTCTAGGTATTTTACATATGAAGGAACTAAGGTTAAATAAGAGGAGTTAAATGATTAGGCAAATAACTAGTGAATGTTAAAGGAGAGATTTCTAAGTCTTCTGACTGGGAAAGTCCTGGCCTTATTCCACTTCACCAATCTGTCTAGTGCTTAACGTAACATTATAGTTAATGGAACTAGAAGCTAGAGAGTGATCAGCATGGGGTGAGTATAGTCTGGGAAGTTTTCTTAGAAGGCTAAATGTTGGGTTGGGTCATGAGAGAATTGAGTGATAAAGCTGGATTGACCTAGAGGGCTCAGGAACTCTTCTGGTGAAAGGGACCAGTCTGGGACAAAAGTGAAGGAAAACAAATCACTTCACCTTTCTGGGACTGTTTCATGTGTGAACTGAAGGGGTTGAGGTCCCTTCCAGCTCTAAAATGTATGATCCTGTGAACCCAGTTTTTCAATATAATTCTTCATCCCCCCCCCCTTTGTAATGTGCAGGAGTTAACCCTTCTTCATTACCACAGCTTCTGCCTTAGTGCAGACCATCATCACCTCACACCTGGATCACTGCAACAGTAATCCAAAGTGATCAACCATTTCTTCCAATATCCAGTTTATCTTCTGAAAGCATCCCCTTGTTCGAGAACCTACAATGATTACCTATTGTCTGATTCATTTAATTTAAACTCCCATACCCAGTTTCTAGAACTTTCCATAATTTCATCTCCATTCTACCTATCAGTTTATTTCCCATCATTTCCTAATTCAAAACTTTGTTTCTTTCTGGTAGACATTATACCCATCCTGCTACCTGTAGACATCATACCCATTCTTGACTTGATTTTGCTCATGCTGTATCCCTCCACTCCCTGTTAGCCATCCTTCAGAGTCCAGCTCAGTTCCTTCTTCTTTCTTGGAGCCTGCCCTAGCTACTCTATCCTACTTGGTCTGTTCTCTCCCATTTCAGAATTACTAGTTTTATAATTGGTATACAGTTTAAAATGTCATTTTTCTATATCATAAACTACTAAGGGCCAGGGAATCATATCTTATATTTGTGTATTTCTCATAGTACTTGGTATGGTGTTGGCCCTAGGTATTAATATATTGTTGATTGATGTGGGGATTGAAGGAGAAATAAGACCAAAAATGAATCTGAAGTTGTGAGTCTGTGGGACCAGGATGCTCATAATCATCATTGGTAGACATAGGGAAAGGGTTCCTCTTTTGATGGAGGGCAAGGGGAAAGTAAATTTTCAAAATTTCATTTAAGGAGAAATTGGCATGTACTTACAGAGATGTCTTTTAGGCATTTGGAATTATAAGATTAGAGAGGTAAGAGAATCAGAATGGAGATGTAGATTTTGGGGAAATTATTTAAAGGTAGTAGCTAAAACTGTGAGTAGTGAACTTCCTGGTGGAACAAATATAGAATGAGGAGGAGGGGACCAAGGATGAAAGTTTTGAGATAACTACAGTTAAGGGTTGGAGAAAGAGGAAGAGGCAGAGAGAGAAGAAAAGCCATAAAAGGATGTAGGGCCAAATGCCAAGAGAAAAGACAGTTTCAAAAAGAAAGTGATATCTATTAGTGTCAAGAGTACCTAATAACAATAACAATAATAATAATAATAATAATAATAATAGCTAACATTTATATAGTGCTCTGAGGTTTGCACAACACCTACATGTTACCTCATTTGATCCTTACAACAACCTTGTGAGAGAAGTGCTATAATTATCATTCCCATTTTACAGATGAAGAAACTGAGGCTGAGAAGTTAAATGACTTGTCCACTTGTCTAGGGTCATGCAGCTAATAAGTGTCTGAGGCAGAATTTGGATTCAGGTCTTCCTGACTTCCAAACCCAGCACCCTATACACTGAGCCACCTAGCTAGCCTGTATAGATTACAAGTAATAATCTCTCTACATGGAAGATTAAGAATATGAGAAATGAAGAGGTCATTGGGTGACCTTAGAGAGCAGTTCTAATGGAATGGGAAGTCAGAGGCAGGCAGGGATAGACCACCTCAGTTCTAGCAGTTTAACGGTGAAAGGCAGTAGGAGAAATTGGATGAATGGATGGATGGATGGGTGGCTAGACAGATGGATAACCTGAAATTAGTAGTTTTACACCCATAGCTCCCAAACCAGCAAATGAGTTTGCCTGTTAAGAAGTTTGGTTTTTGTTGATAAGCCTAAAAGCAGTAATTACGTTCATATTTTTATTTTCAAACTCAACACTCCTACCTGTGTGGCCCTGGGCAAGTCATTTACCCTTTTTGTCAAAGTTTCTTCATTTGTAAAATGGGGATAATAATAACACTTACCTCACAACCACCTTGGGAGGTTGTGAGGACCAAATGAGATAATTCAGTGACTGGCACAGAGTAAGCACTATGTAAATGTTACTTATTACTATTATAGTACCTAGCCATGTAATAATATTCCAGAAAGCTTTGTATTTGTCCATTTTCATGAATTATAAATAGATAGGTGTTTCTTTTAGTTTTTATATAAAGATAATATCCCTTTGAAACATGCACTGCTAATTTACCTATGTCTGTTTAATTGACTGTCACTCCCATATTACTAAGACTTCAGGGTGAAGAAAATTTTTTTTAAACTGTAAATAAAAAAATAACCAAATAATTGTCCATGAGAAAGAACATAAAAATGTTTGTTCATGCTTATGTAGTTTTATCTGTACCAGGAGTGAATACTGTAGCAAGAAATTGTATTCAGTATTCTTCAGTCTTGTTTGCAGAATTGTTATTCTACATTGAGTATGAGGTATAGATTCACTTCATGAAATAGATTTGTTTAATTCAACAAAAATGGATTGGGTACAACCAACTTAGTGTTTAACAGTGTTTGTTGAATGAATGAATACTCCTGGATATTAAAACACAATTATTGACCTTTAATTTACAACCTGATTGGGGGATGTGGGGAAGTACAAAAGAAGTGGAAGGAAAGTAAATTTTTTTAAAACTAAAATTTTGGAAGATGCATTTATCACTTCCACACCCAAAATGGTCCCAAGATAGATCATATTTAAGAATGAAACAAATCTTTTAAAATTATATATTTAAAAGTAAAATTACTTTCTGACCAAATATTCAACTCAAATTATAAAGGACACAAACAAGCTTTATAGTAAAACTGAAAATATTATACCAGAAAGTATGTTCTTTTGGAATTAGATCCTTGGGTAGAAAGAAACCTAAATACCCGGATATATTAACCTGGCCCTTGGTTTCATCCCTGATAAAATGGGAAAGGAGGTGGTACAAAGAGTCTTCACCAAATATTCTGAAACATTTTAGTTACTGAATTTACACCAGCTAGCTACATTTCTGTATTTCTCTTTGGTTTCTTTTTTCCCCAGTCTTAAAATTTTTGAGAAACTGAGCAAGAATAAGTATTCTTATGGCATGTTATCGACAAATTCAAGTATAAGGAGAAAAACAAACTTTTTTTTAGGTTTTATAGTTCAAACAGTGCTGTATCTTTTATCATGTCACCTTAGTCTCATACTTCTGTTAAAAGTAAGATAATAATAAGATTTTTTTTGTGAGACATATCCTTACCAAGTTTGCAAAGGATTTGAAGTTTTTCAAAGATTATTACTATGTTACTGTAACATAGGTTAAACTGATTGTGTGTTTTTTTCTTTTTTTTTTTTAATAGAATTTAACTCCTTCCAGACCTTCAATTCAGTTTCAAGGACTCCAAGGGGTAAGTATTCTTTTCTTTTATAATTTTTCAGGAAAGCTTTTTTTTTTTTAATATTACCTATTATGTTTAAATTTCTAATCTGTTTTTTTCACCTATTCCTCTTAGAATCGGTGATAGTTAAGGGTACCAGGCCTCCTTTGCTTATGGCTTGGTTTGATAAGCACTTAGGCTGTTCGTCCTTTGTGAATTTAAAGCAAGAAAATAGATACATGTTAACTAAACCATAAATTATTAAAATAATTTTTAATAGAGCAAGACATGGATTACTTTTCCTTTACCATTTTTATAGGCTGCATAACTGACCATATAATATTCCAGCTCCATTTGATGATACCCTGAGAATTAACAATTGTAAGGAAAATCTAAATATCAATGTCTTTAAATGTTAAAAAATAACCAATTTATCATAATTAAATACTGGAAGAACATTTTAGCATTTGGAGATGTATAAAATGGAATGCGTTTCCTTTTTAATTAGTGAGATCTCTGTCACTGGAATTATTCAAGCAGGGCTTAATTGACCGACCACTTTTCAGGAATGTTGTAGAAGGTGTCCTTACAGTGAGAAAGAGCTGGTCTACTCACAAGATACTATGATTCAGTGCTTTACCCTAAGGAATTAAAAACAATTATAAACAACTTATGGCTCTCTAATTGCCGTTAGTATTGAATGTAATATGGCAAAATTTCAGTATTTAAAGTGTATAAATATAATGTAGGAATGGAAAATTAAGATTTTTTTGTATATACTTGGTACCAGGTTTAAAGAATATAGCAGTTTTCTATGTTTACTTTATTGCTTCACTTAGCTACATAAATAATAGTGACTAAAGCTACAGACATAGGATATTCATTACAGAGAAACCTGTAATTAAAATTGATGACATGCATATATACATATATATAAAAGAAATCAAATATAATATAAATTTTGTGGAAGAGCAGATGGGCTTATTTTCTGTATACACTTCACACAAATTAATCTACTCCTTTATATGTCTGTCTTAAGCATTAGTTATATTATGTGTTGTTTAAAATACATACATTTCTGGAAGTTGAGGAAAAAACTTTGGTAATACTCGTACATATTATTTCTGTTGCCTTTTTTTTTTAGCTTCATGAAAGGAATGTGCTTTTTTTTTTTTTAGTTTGAAAAATAAAATCTCTATACACCTTTTTATAATTTCAGTATCGAGGGACCAAGGAATATCATGCTACCCATTCAAACCAGTTCTTAAGAAATAAGTTGTAAACCCCCCCCCTTTTTTTTTCTAAATCTGTGTTACAGGAGATTTTTTTTTTAAGGCAGTTGGGGTTAAGTGACTTGCCCAGGGTCACACAGCTAGTAAATGTCAAGTGTTTGGTCTGAGGCCGGTATAGGAGATTTTTGTATTCCTCTTTAGTAAAAAAAATCTTCATATATGTTAGGGCTGAGCCATGTGCATAGGAGCCTTATAATGAGGTCCCTTTGGCATTTCTATAACTGACACTCCACAAATAAGATGTAAGGTGAAACAGCTGTATAGGTTGCTCTGGAAGAGGTGTTGTTATAGGTAGGCCCCATTGCATAATGATAATGTGGTAGTTTAAGAAGTTTAAGGAATGTTGGTTTACTTATAATCGAGGAGTTTAAAGCTTGGAAAGGACCTTAGAGATGTGGTCCAGCTCCCTCATTTTATAAACGTGGGAACCAAAGGATTTGGCCAAAGGTCACCCAAGGTGGTAAGCATAAGCAGAATTCAAACCCTGGTTCTTTGACTATGAAATCTGAGGCTTTGGCTTAAAAGAATTTCTTTTCAATATGTGAGTCTTTATGGCATGCTTTAACTATCCCAAGGAATATATAGGACGTCCTTAGCATTCATAGGGATAAAATTCTAGACTTTCTGAGGATTTTCACCAGTACGATAGGGAGGAGGTGAGAGAAGAATAATTTGAGAGTCCCTTTGCAGACTCATGACTGTACCTCAGGCCTCTTTGTCCATTTTCTCTTTTCCTCTCACCTCCCAGTTGGGGAGGGGACACTATTGGTCTGGGAGATACCAAGCCAGAGTCAACCATACTGGCCTGACGGTAGAGGGGGAGGGGAGGGAAGATAAGGGAAGGCTGAGGTTTGCAGCATTCCAAATTAGTCCTTATAGTTTAATTTAAGCACTAGCAACTCAGGCATTGTGAAGGAGGTTGACTCTCTGTGAAATACTGGCTACCTCCAGGGCCCTGGGCAGAATTACAAAGTTTATCTTTGGAATTGTTCCAGCTGCCTTTCAGAACTTTTCTCCTTCATTGTGGGGATTGGAGAGTTAAGGATAATGAAGATCTGCAAACAGGTGGGTGGGACTTTTGGTCTTGCTTGCTGGAAGCACTCACCCTCCTCCCTTCTCTGCTTCCCCCCTTCCACCTCCCCCCACCCTCAAACACACTTTTGACTAGTTCAACTGGTAACAATGTGGATTCAGAATTGTTTAGTAACACGTTCCCACCCACCCCTTCCTCCCTTTTGCAGAGTTCTCTGTGCAACTTGGGGGCTCAGTAAAAATAGATTTATTGCTGGGAAGATCGCTTTGGTTGGCAAAATGCACAGCAAATTTGTGAAACAATAAATGTGAGTCTCCTGCATTTTATTTTTATCTCAGAGACTCTGGTAATAAAATAAGCCAGTATAAATCTTCCTGAAGGAGTATCTGCTTATGAACTTTCCATGTGTGATAAGTAGACCTTTTTTGGTGGGAAAGGAGTATCCAAACCCCTCATTTCATCAGTATAGAAAATTCCCAGTTTGAAAATATTCTCCACTAAGGAAGAATTACAATTTATTCGATATAGCCTCAGCCTATGCCACTTAAAAGTTAAGTGACTTAGCCAAGGACACAGAGATATTATATATCAGGAACAGAAGTTGAACCCAGGTCTTCTTGACTACATGTATGACTGTCTACTATGCCATACTATATAGATGAGACTTAAATACTTGATGGTTTCCATAAATTTGTATTTTCTTCCTGTGTTTTTCTTCTGAAGGAAAATTTTCAGTAAAGTAGTTGAGACATTTCTCAGATATTCACACCTCTTCCTTGAAGGGATTCGGTAGTATTTATTTAGCAATGTTACATTCTTTAGGTGTTAGCCTTGGTTTAAATCTGCATTAATTGTCATGCCTATTTACTTTATAGGCCTATTCAAAGATGAATTGAAATGTTGTTAAAATTCCAATGGCGTCTTAAAACTGAATACTCACCTCTTCTGTTTTACCTGCTGAGACCTGTGCCGAATCCTTCATGGTACAGATTTTCCCATGCCATTGCTTTTTTAATAATGTCTTTAGGAGACCAGCATTTTCCATTTTGTACAAATGACAGTTTAGCGCTTAAGTATATTTCACTTTTGTGTCTGAATTTGTTCATGTTTAAATTTTCCTCTAATATGTGCAAACTGGCATGTTAAGCAAGTTATGGTTTATCTAATAATTCATTTTAATTAAATTAATGAAAATTCTGAATAACTTTATTCCCTAGTCTTCTATACTATAGTTCCTGCAGGTAGATTTTAAAGTGTACACAATGTGAATAGGTTTCAATATTCTCTCTTTTTAAATAGCTCACATAATTGGATTGTCCTATTTATAAAGCTAAGTGCTACAATAAGGAGAAACAGGGAAATTTTCCAATGAGAATAGGGAATTCTATTTTCTAAAACTGATGTGTGTCAGGAGCTTTCTATAAATAAGCCTCTTGAAAAAATTCAATATTCACATTCTGATTGATTAAACAAATCTTCTTTGTAGTTCTCAAACCCATACCCAGAATGCTCATATCTAAAGTTTTTACAGTGACTATTAAGTTTCTTTTATAGACAAATATTTTTTAACAGTAAAGATAGTTGGGTTTTTTGGTTTTGTTTTTTTTTTTTTTTTTTTTTGCTAGAACTCTATTTGAACTATTATATTGGCATGCTAAAATTATTTAGTTCAAAGGACTGTGTGCATACAAAAGGTATTGTAAGCCTCTCTATTTCGTGGTCATTTCCTCATAAGCTTATTTAAATGCAGAACGCAATTTCTTTAGATACCAAAAATGTATGAAACATGGGCAGTTCCAGCAAATTGTATTCTAGCTATGGTTTTTTTTTTTAAATAAGTATCTAATGTTTTTCTGATCTTTGGATGTGAATGAGAAGGCATAATACAGTTCATCAACAAGTATTTATTAAGTGCCTACTGTATAGCAGGCATTGAGGTAGACTACAAATACAAGGCATGAAACAATCCCTGCCTTCAAGAGGGTTACATTCTAATGAGAAAGACCTCAAAAAATTACATAATATTTATCTAAAAAGATGTATGGCATAAATATAAATTTAATAAATATGTTTGCATATACATACACATGCAAAGTAGTTTGGAAGAAGAAGCAATAGCATGGGGTGGGGGAGTCAGAACTGATTTCATGCAGAAGATGATATTTAATCTGTATCTTAAGGGAAGCTACCTATGAGGGTTAGGTAAGAAGAGAGTACATTTGAGGCATGAGGGATGACAGCCAGTGCATAAGCACAGAGATGAGAGATGCAATGTTTTGAATGAAGAACAAAGGGAAGGCCCTGTGGCAGGAGAAGTAATATCCAGGAAGGCTAGAAATATAAATTGGAGCCAGATTGCATTGAACTTTAAAAGCTAAATAGAGGAATTTTTAATTTGATCGAGGAGACAATAGAAAACACTTAAGTTGATTTTAAGGAGGAAAATCACATGGTCTGTGCATAAGGAAACTTGCTTTGGCAGCATTGTAGAATGGACTAAAATAGGGAGAGATTGGAGGCAGGGAGACCAATCAGGAGGCTATTACAGTAATCTGAATGAGAGGAGATAAAGGCCTGAACTAAGTTGTAGTTCTGTGAATAGAATGATGGGGTCAAGTGTAAGAGCTGTCATAAAGGTAGAAACAGCCATAATTAGCACTTGATCAGATATATAGAATGAGGAAGCGTGAGAATAGTGCCAAAGT